CGCAGAGGGCAGGCGGGGCTCAGCCCCCACTCCCCGTGGGAGCCGAGAGACGGGGGAACCGGCCCCTGCTGTGTCCACCTCCGGCTGCGGCCACACAGGCGGGAGCCTGGGACAGGCTGCTCACAGCCAGCACCGAAATACTAGACCCAGCCCTAACCACCCGTTCTCTCCAGGATAACGTTTGGCCCAATTTTTGCGTGGATCTCGTTCGACCGAGGAAGACAATACAAAGGTGTAGGAGAAGCCCGATGCTCCGGCACGAAGCGGACTGGGCGCTGCGTGCCATGGGGTGAGGAGCGGAGCAAAGCCCGGCCAAGCTGCCTTGCACTGAAAGCAAAATAAACCGAGGAGCATCCCGCCGGACGACGCGAAGGCCGAGCCTCTGCGCCCCTTCCCGCGGCCGGCGAGCCCCTGTGCGGCTCTCGGAGGGGCTGGTCCCCGCCCGGGGCTCTGTTCCGGCCACCCGTTCCCTCGGGCTCTGCCTCTCTCGGGCTAGGGCAGGGACGGAAGGAGGTTTTACAAAGCTATACGTAGGATTTATGGGAGTTAATTTTACGATATTATAGACTGAAAGAATCCCGTGATTTAAAACATCCCCTCAAGACAGATGTCGCTTAGTTAAAGGCTGCTGCGGGTTTTTTCCCCCAAAACTCACTTAATCTCGCGTTCAACAGAACAAGGTAGACAAGCTTTCGATGTTGCTTAGATTTCCTGCGGATTGCACCGGAGAGGGGGACAGGAAAACAGTGACTGCCTTGGGTAAGGGAGACCTTCCCGTTTTGGTTCGAAATACGACGGGAGTGAAGTTCTCTCTAACGAACGAAAGGTTGACGAATCCTTCCCAGGCTCGGGGTTATTTTCAGCTCAGCTCGGGAGAGCTCGGGAGCAGCCTGGCCTCGATCCCTGCCTCGTACCACGCAGCTCCCGCCGAGCCAGGGTCCTGGCGGCGGTGACGGGGGAGGCCGCGCCGGGATTGGCCCCCGCGGGAGCCCCGTCGGACCAGGGTCTCCGCTGCTCGGAGACCTTCAGCGGCGCTGCGGCCGTCGAGAGTGTGAGGGAACTGCGTGTAACCCGGGGCTTCTTCATTCACTCTGTACGGTGCAGGAAGAGCTGTAACTCGCCCTCCTCCTTGTGCCTCCCTCCCCCCCCGCCCCGACCACCGCCCGCATTCCGCAAATTAAAGTTACCACAGTCACCAAACAAATTCTTGGGACCCAGTATTTGTCATTCCCATAGCCTGCAAATCTACCCACTCTGGCAAACGGGGGATTGCCCCCTCGTCTCCCTGCAAGCCGGTTCCGTTCTTGCTCCCTGCCGCGGAGCCCTACGGGTTCTGACCAGGAACATCACCGCACGATGTTGCGGGATGTTTCAGTCGTGTGGGACCAGAGACTTCTGAGTGGGTCCCGCAGCCTTTTAGATGTTATCTTAAAGATAACACTGCAGCGAAACAGAAAGGAGCATGTTAGGTTCATAAATCTGCTGAAATAACCTCCAAACCACAAAAAAATTGTTGAAAGAAAATGTAAGTCTTTGATGGGTTACATATTATCTTGTTTCGTTGGGCTTTATTCAAATAAGGAGCATCTGTGGCTCTAAAAAAGCTGTTCCAAAAGAGCTCATTTTCTGCAACTCAAGTTACAGTAGAGACACACTGGACCGAAGTATTTGATCCTTTGCTTTCAGGCTGGAGTTGAACCCTTTCCTCTTTCATCAGAGGTCAGTGTATCGGAAAACAGTCCCTGCGTCAAATAATTTCTTGGAATCATGGGACTGAAACTACTTAATTGAAGTACCCTGCTCAGAAGGGCCTAAGAAGGGAAATTTGGAACAATAAAATCTATCAGGCTGTTACACACTTTGATATGTATGTATATATATATGGAAATCCACGTATCACTGTTTATAGCCACATATGACCTTTAACCTTATAAATATGGATACAGATACACACACGCACACATAGACACACCCCCACACCCCCACTGGGTCTGTATAGACACCAAAAAAATTTTGGTTATCAGAATGACCGGCCACACTGTGCCATTGCTGTAGTCTTTCCCTGAAGTCCTGCTGCCACCACAGCAAGACTGATTGACAAGTATTTTCTGAATGCTGCATCTGAATATTTTCTGAGAGGTAATTTTTTTCTTTGTCTGATTTTGGTTAAAAACTACCTGTAGGTTTCTGGATATCCTTTTCAATCTGATTCCCAAAAGGCTTGAATACTTTCACCTTTATGTCACACTTGTGTGCTGAGATTTGCAGATTTTCTTTCTGTTTCTCCAGTCATCCATTCTGTTGTTTTTGGGGGTTTTTACCCCTTCAGCTAACACACAGAATATCAGGCAGGGCAAGTGAAAGATGGAACTTCCACTCTTTCACCATGTTCCAATGTCATTTT